AGACACAATAATATAACAAAATAAAATAAAAAAAAAAAAAAAAAAAAAAAAAAAAAAAAAAAAAAAAGAAAGAAAAAGAAAGAAAAAATGAAGAAAAAAAAAAAGAATTACAATCTAGATAACGCTAATAGCATTTCTCTTATGCCAAATAGTAAATTTTCTTACAATAAAATTAATTTAAAACTTGTAACCACCCAAATAACTCGGTTAGGGTATCATGCAGTAAATGAGGGTTGAAAATTGGCTTTTCAACACTCACTTCGCTTAAGACATCGACGAATTCAACATGAGATATCAATCAATCATATACAAATACATTAAGAATCTAGAAAGTAAAAATTGCAAAATCTAATTGTTTCTCGTTAAAGAATATTCGAAGCACGCATAATCACTTTTATTGTTAAAATGAAGAAGATGAAAAAAGGAAGAAAAAGAAAGGGGAAAAAAAAAGAAAAAAAGAAAAAAAGAGGAAAATAAACGAAGTCCGAATTTCTGGATAAAAGTTTCTCGATGAAAGTACTACGGTGAGTCGCACCTCAAGTATTCAAAGATCTCAACTAAAAGTAAAAGAAAAAAATGTACATTAACAACGCATAAAACTCTGCGCGGCCCTAGGAAACCGCTCGGTGGAAAAGAAAAGTTGCGCTGAAATCTTGCAATATGTTGTCCTCCTTCGCTGTTCTTTACTATCGTGCGATAAATTCCCTTTTGCTTGACGGACGGACGGCAGACGGCTAAGAAAAGGATGCCATCATCGTAGCTCCGTGTCGTGGAAGCGCCAGTATGACGCGCTGACTCCTCCGTGTCGCCGGTATGACAGGAACACATTGCCACATTCTTGGAATTTCTGCGAGCGCCCATGTAACAGATAATTGATCGTTGTTAGAAATCGCACTTTTGACCGTCGTGACGCGATGCCGATTTTCGCAATTAAAGCGCGCCACCGAATATCAATGGAGCGCGCCTCTTCCTCGGCTCATTCGCAATCAACCAACCATTTATAGACGTAATTTGATTATGATTTTACCAACAACCGGTACGGGGTTAAGTCGAAAATAAAGATAAAAGTAAAATAAATGTACATATTATTGCTTTTATGTTATGAACAGTGAAGAATTTATTCAGTGAATTATATTCATAGGTATGTATGTAATTGTCAATTGCAATATAAGTGACGTTGTCGTAGTATTGAGAAATGAAAGTTCATTTGCTAAATCAATTCCAAAGGTTCTAACGATACGTTGACTCGGTAACTCGTCATTTCGAGAATAGTCGAGTATGATCGATATGTTGTTATTAAGTCGCTTAATGTTAAACACTAAGAATCAACTACTACCACATACCATATATCTCGAGCCCAATGTAAATAAACTTGAGCGTTAATAATGTCTACAACTGTCAGCAATAAACCAAAATATTTGAACAACAATTTTAATCTACTGTATAAACAAAATGTTAAAAGACAAATTATACGTACATTCACAAAATAGATTTTCACATATTTCGAACGGTCTACCATCTATTAGGCCCTTTTCTTATTTTCACCTCAATGCACAACCCTCACAAACCACTCCACACATAGTATTTAACACATTTTAAACAACAAGACTTTCTTTCGATAAAGCGCCAAAAAATTCATGTCTACGACTATACGACCTTTTTTATTCCGCTCATTACACTATAATCCTTCGTTAAGCGCATACACAAATCATTATCCTATGCTCCACAAACATTACTCGCAACACATTGTGAAGATTATATAATATAAATATATGGAAATTATTTAAGCAATTTGAATTTATTGGCTTACTTAGCTTCTCGAATTACGATAATACATTGTATTTGATAAATAATCTCGTAAGCATTTCTTATTGCATGTATTGCGAGATTCATCAATTGAAGTAAGCCATTAGTGTAATGCTGATTAATTTAAAATTATTAGAGAATACTTGATAGGTGCATTGCTAAAAATAATGTGTGCGTGTGTGCGCGCGTGGATGGTCGTTTGTACGTGTATATTCATGTGCATGAATACTCATTGAGTTTCATATAACGCGAATAAGCCGAATTAATATCGTTTAGCTCTGATAGGATATTAATACTTGCTATGCAAATTTTCAATTTTCATAATTTACTATCATCGTTGGTGAATGCGAGACTCATCGTCATCACTACCTCCTACAATTTACTTACCAATTTACGGTCAAAGACATAAATCTTATTCGCATGTACGAAGCGATCAGCGTCAGCTTCGTTAAAATCTTCTCGATCTTATCAAAAATATACATTATTATATGTGAAACGATATATTTATTATTCGTGCCTCGAGTCGAGAATCGCAAGCTCAAGCTCTGTCAACAACTCAACGCCGTGCGAAAGCTTCGCGGTTAAGTAATGTTCGCCATCCCTTCTAGACGCGTAATTAATTATTGGCCGTGTAATTGTGTCGACCTAGTCCGTAGTCCGAGAAATTGCGATTATCGATGAGAAGGGAGCGGCAGCGATAGTCGACGCAAGCTCAAAAATGCCTAGACAAATACAGACTGTCGTCGTCGACTGGGCCGAGTTGCAAAGTGACGTAGGAATTTCGAGGGTGGGTGGGTGGAGCGGTGGTGAGTCAATTGGAGGATGGATGGATGAGTTAGGTATGGTGGTTGGTTTATTGGAGGTTGGTGGGTTGGTGGGTTGGTGGGTTGGTGGGTTGGTGTGCGTGTGTGCGTGTGGGTCGGTGGGTGGGTGAGGGGTGTGTGTGTGTGATGGGGTTGGATGAGGGGGATGGGGGGAGGATCTCAAGATGGCGTCAGTCGAGGTTGCAGAGCAACTCGTGTAGAAGACGCGCGTGCGACACGACAGGGGTGGACAAATTGTGATAAAAGTGCCGTTTTATATACTCACATCTCTAAAGATCGGTGCTGAACGAGGGCGCGAGCTGCTTGTCGACTGCGGGTCGTCACCAGAAGTGCGGCTGGGCGTAGCCGCCGGGCGCGTTTGCCCCTCCCGCGGCGCCCGCGGCCGCCCCCGCGGCCGCCCCGCTCATCCCCAGAGGATTGAAGCGGTGGGGGTGCAGCTTTTCCATGCGCACCGCCCCGGGCCCGCCCCCGAAGCCGTGATGACCGGCGCCGGCGCCACCGCCCCGGGGCCCGCCGAAGCCACCCCGACCGGCGAGCATCGCCCCGGGCGGACCCCCGGCCGCCAGTCCGGCCCCACCGCCGAGGCCCATGCCGATGCCCGGGGGCACGCCGCCGTAGCCGCCCCGGCCCCTGCCCACCGCGCCGCCGCCGCCGCCACCGCCGCCGCCGCCGCCGCCGCCGACGCCACCTGCAACTCTCCCTAGACAAATGCACAGGTACTGCCGTTGAGCCCCGTCGAGCCCCGACGCCCTGCGGCACTCGCAGCGAACCCCGGGCCAACGGTTCCCTTGCACCGACGCTAAAGCTCAAAGGCGCTGCTGACCGCTGGCCAGGGGCATCGCGCACACCGTACCCGGGACTCTTTGCCGCACACTCGACCTCACACACCCCGCCCCCCCCCCTCACCCTCCCCCATCCCGCCCCAACCACCATCCGCGACCATAAATCATCGCCGCAGCTTATCAATTCAAGAGACTCGAATGAAATTTAATATGCTTCCTTTTTTTATCCATTAATGCAAACCCCGAGATTTTTGTGTCCAATATTTTCTCAATGAAAGCCAAGAATTTATTATTTTATCAAACTTCAATGCTGCTTTATCATCGACATTTACAATTTTTAACAAGATTCGCTCCGCGAAGTTATTCGTTACGCGCATTCGTACGCCCGTACACGCACGCAAACACGCAAACACGCATACATACCTACGTATGCGTACATGCATGCGTACGCGGGTACATATATATGTACACGTGCATACGTGAGCGATTGACTTGCACATTAACTGCAAAGAGAGCTTATATACATAGAATAATATCAAAATATAAAGGAGACTTTAGTTTAAAATTCAGTTTAAAGTAGTTTCTGCAATTCATCTATTTCTTAGAGCATTCAACATCGAAAGTTAATAACAAAAAAAATAAATAAATAAATAAATAAATAAATAAATACATAAATATATATATATATAAACAAAAAAAAAAACAAAAAAAAAACAAAAAAAAAAACAAAAAAAAACAAAAAAAAAACAAAAAAAAATCAAGTGCATAAAGGTATTATCACAGTTAAGGTCTTAGCAGAAGCAAGTTATTTCGGTGTGCAAATGCTAGTTAAAGATACCAGGTGTCTGTTTCAGCTGAGCGAACATTCGTATTAATTACCTCAAGGCCGTGGACCGTAATTGCATAATGTTCCCATGCTCGACTTTCAAGATCGCGAACAACTCATTTGACACTTATTGCTTTAAACGTTAGCTTTCAATAATGAATTATAAATTTTTTTGTTTACAAACTCGAATAGATTGCCAATTTTCATTACGACACGAGAAATTTGTATTTAATTTATTTAGTCCTTTAACGAAAGAATTCTTAGAAAATCATTAACCAGCAACGATATTGAGAAAAGATCTTGGAGAAAAGATCCGTAGAAAATGATAGAAAATAACATTTGAACGAAAGAGAAACGATTTAGCCGTTCTTAATACGACATCGAATTTGCACAACAATTCATGAAATTAGACTTACAAAACATTTATTCGTATAATACTCATGAAGTTTATGATTTCGATATACAAAATGATTGACATATTTTGCTTAATTTTATAAAATTGTCATGTAAATCGGATATCTAAGCATATTTAACACAAATTAATAAAATTGTTTAATTAATCGTAAATCATTCAGGTTTTTAATAATGATGATAAAAGAAAAATTGAGTATATTGTGTGGTAAATACATAATTCACATTATACATGCAGCACATTTTTATATACAGAATTTAGTTTTATTTGCTTAAATATATTTTGTTATCAGCACACACTTATTAAACAACAATTTACACTTTCTAATAAATTAATCAATGAATGTATGTACGTTATACCTTCAAACAAAACTTATAAGAATTCAATTATATTAAAAAATAATAATAATAATAACTTTTATCATGTGTTTTAATTATTAATATTAATAACAATAACAATAATAATACAATAATAATAATTCAATAATATTAGTTTAATTTATTACAGAATACTTACACTAGGAAAACAAGTGCAATGCGTATCGTGTATCGCTACATAATAAGATTATTTTGTATAATCGCTACAAATTATTTCATTCTCTTGATTTACTTCAAGTATTTATTACAATATTAAATAAACATTAAATGAAAATAATAAACTTGAGTTCCATTCGTAATGCCATTTTGTATTTTAATTATTCGACAGCAGTAGATAGAATTCATTAGAAAGCAATACAATTCTTCAATTAATAAATGTATTATGTTTCATACGACTATTTTACGATTCATATTAAACTTTCATTTATTTAGAATTAAAATTATACGTCATGTCCATGTTTATGTAAGTAAAATTATCCTTATAAAGTACATGAAGAAAAGTAAGCTTCAAGCTCAAGCTTATACTATTGTAACGTAACTGTGAACTGTAACTTACATATAAATTATTAACATTAGCTTGAATTTCATTAAAAACTAAAATTTATTCTTATATTTTGTATTAATATCATTTATTAAGAGCTACATCGAATATATATGACATTTTTCTAAAAAATTTTATCTATCAATAATATATATATATATATATATATATATATATATTGTATTTAATATTTATTATTATAATATGCGAAAATTCTAAGTTGCCCAAAAAAGTTAAAAATTTATAATACCAATACTTTTTAATCTGATTTAAATATTTAAAATACATTATATTCAATTTTTATATTTATTATTTTAATGATATATTTTGGTTTCCATTTATTTTCTTTTTTTTTTTCTTTCTTTTTTTTCTTTCTTTTTTTTTCTTTCATAAATTGTACGATAAAATTTTTTTGTAATAAGTATGTAACAACGCATTACTCAACAATTGTATATATACTATGTGATCCCAAAAACATTTTATTTTTACAATATGTTTGTAATTTATGGATTTTTAAGCATTGATATATAATTAATGAATTCGTACTTGTTAATAAATTACAGAAGGAATTTTTCAAATATTTTTCTAATTTTTTAAATATTTCTAATTGCTCTCATATTATGCTGAGATAATGATATATTTAATCTTTAATTGAAAATATGTTTTAATATCTTGTTTGTACATACGATAATGCTGTGTAATATTTTTTTGCAATATTAACAATACAGTTTTCAATAAAATGACTTGACGATTTATTAAAAGATAGTATGTTTCTATTATGACAACCTGAAATTATTATTTAAATGAATATTACTTAAAATGCTGAAATGTTTATTACTTATGAATATTCAATCATTATAATGATATATAATATTGCTTTATATCAATATACCAGAATATCATTTAAACTACATTTATTATATAATTATAATGATAAAATGAATTAACAAAAGAATTCCAAAACTAAGCATATAAATATAGTTCGTAATATCGTTGAATTTAATAAAAATTTATCGATAAGACGAAACAAAATTTCCTTCATTTTTATTAAGATTGTTTATATTATATTATATATATATATATATATTCTAGTAATTAAATTGTATGTACATGAATACGAAGAAATGAAAGAACGTGTTTTAAATTAATTATATTACATATATATATATATATATAATACTTAGCCGCTATATTATCATTATAAATATCATTTATTTCGTGCATGAAACAAAATTTACTGAAAATTATATTATATAGAATTAAATTAATAAAATATACGGATTATGATTGACGCGATCAAATAAAATAAAATTTAAAAAATGCAGCACATAATTTTAAGAAACGTGTCGATAACAAGCATATTAATTTTGGAAAACAAGAATTTTATAGAAATAGTATTTATTGTTTAACAGCAACAATATAATATATAATATAACGTGTCTTTATCTTACTAAGTGTACATGAACATTTTTATTATTATTGTTTCTCAATTAATAATTATGTTTATCGCGATACAAACTGAAGGAAATTTTATATATTCAATTAGACTAATTATTAAAGAACAATCTATTTAAACTTTGTATATTATGATTTTATACTAATGATAAATTACGAATTTGTTTTTTTTTTAATAAACAATCCAGATCTGAATATTAATTATTAAACTGATAAATAATTTTTCAATAATTGTCAATAAAAATGTACTATTTATGTATATAATTAATAATATTATTTTAAAATATAAATTTTTTTTTTATATTTTAAAATTTTTGTTAAAAAAATTAGTACTCGGGCTCATATTAATTTCGTATAATTTTGTTCTTATAAATCATAATATTTTTTCTGCATGAAATATATTAATCATATATTTATATTCGTTTTTATAGTATTTGAAAGCCTTGATATGGAACATCATCATCCATGATATAATAACGATCTACATAGTCACGTTTGAGAAAGCATTTGATAATAAAATTTTAATATTAATCACCTGCGCTTCATAATTCTAAACAAACCACGTATTTTTATAATTATTTATTATATCGGATTAATGTCAAATTACTGCAAGAATCTTCTGTAATTTCCAATCAATTATTCTCTCCGCCACTTATTAATTAGACGTTTTTCAATGTCTATTATTATTACTATTATTATTAGATATTATATTAGTAACTAGAAATTATTTTAATTAAATATCAAATCTCACATTATTATTAAAACTTTAATCTGAAAATATAATTATTAGATGTCAGATATAAGTACATTCAAGATAAGTATATGACGGAAATTAAAAACAAAAATTTGTTTTATTGATAATTGAAAATTCATTGTATTATTTAGAACATTATTTATTTAATTTATTATCCTTTTAATTACTAAGAAGCATTAAAACATCATTGTTTTATTAAGATTTTATTTGTAAATCTATATATTTGAATATATGTGTCAAATTAATAAAGTGCGTTGTAAGAGGTAAAATTATTTTATCAATTAATATTAAGCATAATAGTATTCATTATTTTCTATTATTTTTATAATATATATATATATATATATATATATATAACATAAAATTCATTATTATTAACCATTCTATTTAATGTTTTCAATCATTATTTGGTATGTTAACCAAGCACATTTATCAGTAAAAAAATTTCTAGGAGAAACGTTTTTTTTTTTATTTATTTAAGAGAGTATATAATCGTATGTTTTATATTGAATATTACATAATAATTCTTCGATTATTATTA